CTGGTTTGGTCTCCATGAGGATAGAAAGGTTTAATGCCATTCGGTGAAAAATTCCAGACAAATCAACAAAATAAAATAATAATAATGATAATGCATCAGTTTTATATAGGGCTTTTCTGGACACTCAAAGATGCTTTATAGAGCATTATCAGTTCACTCCACATTCAGTGGTGGTAAGCCACTACAGTAGTCACAGCTGCCCTGGGGCAGACCGATAAAAGCGAGATTGCCAATCGGCGCCATTGGCCACGCCAACCACCACCATCACTTGGGCACACATCACCTTCATACTAGGCAAAGTGGGTGAAGTGCCTTGGCTAAAAACACAATGACAGGCGCCCCACCGTGACACCAGATTTTCCCAGTGGTCTCCCATCCAAGTACTAACCAGGCCCGGCCTTGCTTAGCTTCTTAGATGTGATGGGATCAGGCTTTGACAAGCCAGTATGGCCGCATGTCCACGGAGACAAGCATTTGACAGACCCTCCACCAGAAAAGTTACACAATGCACTTTTAAGAGATAAAGTTATGTAGCCTAATCTTACTTCCTTTAGAGTTTGGAAGGTCATGTTGAAAATGATTAGCTTAACATTTGCTTGCTTCGCTTGTAAAAACAGTGAAGGAAGTGCTGAGTGCTGACCATTGAGTGTAGAATGTTTGAGTCACATCAGACACGCAGTCACACACAAATCACACGGCCCATGACAAGCTTTAAAAGCAGTTGTTTTCTTACAGAAATGAAAATGTTGAGGAGGTTTTCCAGTGTGGGGAGTTGGGGGATGAGCTTCTGCACCACTTTGCTGAAGGCCTCGAAGATTGAGTGGTCATAGATACTTGTTAGGTAAAAGCTGTGAGGGACAAAAACAGGAAGTAAGTAAGCAGATGTGAGAAACACTGCACTTCCTTAAATCTGAACAGAGCAGGTACAATGAAGTCAAAGTTAAAAATAATCTTGTCAAAATCATTACAGAATATGACTAAAATCCAAAATAGCAAATATGAGCTCAGAGGTATATTTATAAAAAAAAAAGAAAAGAAAAGCAGAACAAACACTATGAAACTTTTGGCACAATTGTACAGAAAATCTTTAATTGTGCAGCACTCTCCTCTACTTTAAAAAGTAGTTTAAATGTTCAACTCTGTGAAGATACAAGCATTATGACACTTAGTCTGTGCTATAGTACTTTTCTATACTTTTCTGTACTGCTACTGTAGCGTTTACTTCCTTTTGCTTTGTTCATAAATATGAATGATGCTATGACAAAGGAACAAAAGGTAGGCCTAATAAGATAAAGCTTCAGCCTACACCTTTTCAGTATCTGTATGTTAAATATTACTGTTTCCACAGTAATGTCTGAATATACCTGTGACCAAAGTAAACTAATGAATCAAAAAAGCTTTTAAAATTTAAAATTTAAAACATATCTACAACAATTGGGGAAAAACAACATTTATCTCTTGTTCTTAATCTTCAAAACAGCAATCCATTATGCTTATGTCAAACAAGTACAGGATATTATATTGTAATGATCCAAAACCACAAACAACATGAATCAAACGTAAGGGTCATTAACTTACAGCAGTAATGGTGTGGAGTAGGGTGAATTATCTAAAGAAATGAAAACTGCGCGCACATCATTAGCGCACAAAAAACAGCCCCTTTGCTATGGGAATGGACTATTCTCATTAGAAGACAAGAGTTGAATCTAGCACCATTGTGTGAAGAACTTCTGCAATGAGGCCAACTATGACTGTGACTGCACCAATCTAAAGAATTAGGCTAGGACTGTTACGATAATTACTATATAGACTTATTGTTCAATATAAAAGCTGGAGCAATATATTTTGGGGCTCATGTGTACATTTTCTTTGTAAAAGTAGGGAGTTTAGGCTTTTTTGTTGCAATTTGATGAGATTTTTGCTTTACAGGGCTGAATAACTAACTTCTATGGCTAATTGTTGGTTCAATCTGCTGTTTATTTGTTGCAGCTTAGACCTTTTGAATGACACTGTATTTAAAAATTATTTGCTGGGATTATAGTTATTATTGTGATATGAAGTAATTTAAACTTTATAATTTATTGCAGTATATCTCTGTATCAATATATATCGTGCTTCAAAATTTGTTATCATACCTCAAATGAAGCAGAAAACACACACCAAAGTCCAAAGCAAGAAAAACGATCTGACAAAGACTTTTTGTGTGAGTGTGCCAAACATTTTTTCATTAATTTATTTTATCATGACTATGCCTTAAACCTCAAAAACTCTTCCAAATCTACAATATTGTTAAAAATCATGAGTTGCAATAAATAAACAGCACAATGAAATACTTGAGTAGTTAGTTTGCATCTGTAACGAATCAGGTTATTCACACTTTTATGTCTTAAATTGCATCATATAGCCAAAAATAACCCAAAATTTTCCGGTAGTACAAAGAAAATGTACACACGATAAATACTGACCCCCAAAATATATTGTTACATCTGTCCTATATTGAATGATAACTCTATATTTTAATTATCAAGACAGGCCTACAAGTACAAGCTAAATACACAACACATATTGATATCTTCCATGTTATTGCTTGCTTCTCAAATTGCACAGTGCTTTCAAATGTACAAGAATAGACTATTAACAGAGGCTAACATCACTCCAACTATAAAAAGGAGAAATCAATCAAAATGAAATGTATACCTGAGATGTAGCTTTTCTAAACTAGCATCGGCCAGGTCATCATTGGCCCTCTGGTGAATGTCCCTTTGTGTTTCAATTTTGTGGTCGTCAGAAAGTCCGTCTACTTTGTGAATGAAAACCTCGAAGTTGATCTCGGGGTTGACGCGGTAGGCCTGAGACACTGTGAGATGGAGCCTCGTCAGGGCCTCCACATAATCATCCTGCAAAAGAGACACATGTTAAGTGATTTATTAAGGAAGGCAAGTTTATTTGTAAGTGCTTTAGAGAATAAGAAAAGAATAATAAAATCACAATACCATCAAATCATTATTACAGCAATAGGTGGACAGATCTTACAATGGTTGCACAATGTATTTTAATAGTAGCTGAGGACATAAGACACTATTTTACGGTACACTTATTATTAAATTAACATTGTTACCTCACTCATTGTTACTTGGAGTTTTGTTTTGTTTCATTCACACATATTTGAGTAATCCTTTATTATTAGTCTGTTGACATATCCAAAGATCAAAATGCTCGTTTCTACCTTGTGATGTGATGTAGCCGTAGTTTTTCAAGTTAACAGCTTCTTTTACCTTTAGTTCAGTAGATATTGGCAATTTCAGGGCTGAAATCATAAATTATTCTAGTGAAGGTGTTTGGAGTTTAAAAACACAGTGAAGCACTTCCTTTAATATCACATGAAATTACAAAGTGTAAAAGAGGGTTTTTTGTTACTCAACCTAAATATGCAAGGTTGATGTGTTAAACACGTGTGAATGAAACAAAACACAACAGGTATGTTTTTGATGAGGAAACATTATAACATAAATCAGAAAATTGTGGAATATTATAGACTCCTTAAGAGATCCAATGAGTTCAGTGTTAATTAGTATTACTCAGCAGTTAGCACTTACTAATGTCTTATTCTGTATGGCCTTAATTAAACTTACTAAAACTTTCCCAATAACAAAATGGTTATTTCTGCTCATAAGTATAATATTGAGAGTAGGACATTGTTGTACATGAACTATGGTCCTAATGGGCACTTATAAGAAGGGTTAAACAAAAATGGTTTACTCTTATGTAACAAATAGGAAAGGGTTAGTTAGCAGCAGAATAAGGTTAAGGAAAATATGGGTTGAATAAAAAAAAAATAAAATTAACATCAAATCACTTATAAGCTTGCAAAATAGCATCAGATGTTAATTCATAATACACAAATAGTTTATTAACAATGATTCAGGTCAAGTAACTACTTAAAAGTGCATTGTGCAACTTTTTGGTTAAATGCTTTTCTCCATGGAGATCTTATTGCTTTGTATGGAATGTTACACAGTATGGCTTTAAACCTTTCCATCTTCATGGAGACCAAACCAGACCATGTTTTAAGGTCAGATATGTGGAGTAGCAACCACGCTCAGACAGAATGCCTATTTTTCTACGTATTTTTGAGCAATAAAACCACCTGTAATAGCCTGAATAAATTTAAAGGTAGAGCTGTTAATTGTCATACTGTGGAACACTCCAGGCAAAGCAATACATAGTGCATCATTAACCAAAGAGTTTGGGAAGGAGTTAAGATATTAATAAACATTCTTAATGAAACAGCTTCTTATTATGAATCAAGACTTTTTCATGCTTCATGTTATAAAGTGTTAACAGATAAGGTATTAATCATACTGCCATTTGCATTACTTGGAATAAATGACTTGTTCATTTCCTTAAGAGTATAGTTTGAACTATCATTTCCTCTGAACCTTATCGCACGGCTTCTTAACTCTTAGCAGATAATAAATAATCATGTAACCCAATGTAAGCTCATACAACTACAGGTACTATTATTTAAAAAAGCAAATTAATATTTTGTAGTCATATTCTTTTAAGGAGCCAATGAAACATGCAAAGGCTTTCTCCAATAATGATATAAATGCACATATAATTATGTCCTATATTAAACAAATTTACTCTTGTGAGCTTTAAAAGCTCTCTTCCACCTTGTGATGTCATGTGGTTGTAGTTTAGCTACCTTTTGCATTTAGCTCAATAGATTGGCAACTTCAGGGCTGAAATTGTACAAATGATTTTAGTGAAGGTGTATAGGGTTTAAAAACACAGTGAACCACTTCTTATATTACCACATGACATCACAAGGTGGAAGTGTTTTCAGTTTAACTCAGAACTCAGCCTAAATATGAAGAATGTGAATGAAACAAAACACAACTCCAGGTCTATTTTTGAAGAGGAAACATTATAACAGATCAGAAAATGGCATAATATGAGCCCTTTCACTATACAAATCTTCTAATGCTGCCAAATAATCTTTCAGATGATTATTAAAAGTGTATACAACAGTGGTCAATTAGGTAATATAAGCTGTTCTAGGAAAGAGGTTTATCATTTAACACTAGACACAACAAGTTATGCCACCATCTGCAATGCCTTAAACTACACTGAAGCAGTGAATAAAAGCACCAAAAACCAGACAGGAGCTTTCGTGGTCTGGTGATCTGTTAAAGTGACAAAACCAAAGTCACAAGTGAACAAACAGAACTGCACAGTGTCATCACTTTTAAAGAGGTTACAAGGAAAAGTGCAAAGTAATGACTAAGGAAGAAAGAAAAAATATAACATATACTATACTGCTGAATCACCAACCAAACACATTTCACTGTATTAACTCGCCATGCAAAAGTAAATAAATTTTTCAGAGAGAAGGTTTTTGGAAACCTTTTGGATCCAGTTCACACAGATTTGCTGAAATTGAGACACATTTGCACAAATTTTGTAACTGCAATCCTCTGTTTGAGTTTTATTAAGTAAGTTTTAGGTACTCAATGTGAAAGTTTAACTTAGAGTTTTCAAAAGTATTGAAAATCAGACTAAGTCAATATTAACGCTAGTACTGCACCTAGATACTTAAGTATTGATACTAAAACAGATCACATAAAGACAACATTTAACCTTTTCTTAAATTGTTTTAGATCCAAACTAGTATAAGACCACATGGTATAAAAAGTTTTGTGTTAAAAAGAACAGTCTACTGTCTTTAAAAAAAGAGCATTTCTTTTTATCATAATTGTGAAATAAAATAAGTATTGAGTTTAACACTAATCTGACCATTAACAGAATTAGAATTACAAAAACATTTCAACCTTTAAGGATTAAGCACCCTTTTATGGGTCCTTAATCTGATCTGGCTCCTCACCTGCGCATCAATAACAAATATTAAAGCTCCAGTTCCTCTGAAGATCATCTCGTAGTCAAATGTGGGATCGAGGAAGTCCACCTGGCCAGGAAAGTCCCAGATCTGGAAGTTTACAAAAGAACTGCTGGAAATGTCGTCTTTGTAAATCTTGTTTGTGCTCTCCAGAAATAATGTCTCATTTGGGGACATCTTGTGGAAAACAACCTGAAAGATCAAGAAATCAATAATGAGATCACAGCAACAAATGGGCAGAATCTTAAAGCTCTTACATATCCTTGGCTAAGATGTAGTTCAACAGTACAAGTGACTAAAGTTAGTAATACAAAGAGTGGACAAGCAGGTTATGAGAAAAACACTAAAAGAATGCAGCAAAGGAAATCAAACCTCACAAATATATCTAAAGGAAAGAGTACTAAACCTGGTGTTACATTTGAATAAAGGATGCACCAATCTGGTATCGCATTATCAGTACAGATACTAAAAAAGTTCTACTATTCAGAAGATATTGTGGTTGGACATATGAATTGATGCAATATGACTATTTACTTGGTTGTAGTTGGTCCGGAAAGTCTCTTCATGTCTCCTTTATTTATACAAAGTTGTTCTGTAGTTACTAGAGAGATAAAAAACAGCTACAGTACACATTTTGATAAGTTTTGTTTTTATTTAAAGGAATTAAAAATTCCATTTTCAGTCTCTGCACTGGTATCAGCTGATATCTGGTATAAGCAGACACTTAGAGCCATAATATCGAAATCAGTATCGAAAAGTTAAATTGGTGTATCCGTAGTCACAGTTGAATCAAACTACTACATTCTGCCAATTCACCTCATGACTGTCACTGTGCATACATCTTTATTAACTGTCAACAGTGTTATGCAATAGGCTTTTTATTGCCTCATTTACTGTACACTACATGCAGCTCACATGAACACGAACAGCTAAGAGTTACACCATCCATACAACCTTTGTAAAACTGTTATCAGCTATATAGATTTGCTAAAAGAATATGAAATAGAAGGCATTTGGTAGTTGAGGCATTAAAATTGACCTGTATGCTTTTCTGTTAAGTGGAATAGTATTGGTCATTGTGGAAACTGAGATAATCCAGATCACATGTTTTTTAATGTTCATAGGTTTACAGTGAAAAATTAGACTTGGCAGGTGGGTAGCCTGGCTTAAGATCACAAATATTAAGCTGTTTTCTTTCATCTTTGTTGTAGTTGTTTCCTCATCAAAACAAACCTTGTGTTTTGTTTCATTCACATATATTTAACACACACACCCTGCATATTTTGGATGGTAGATAGTATCATCTGGATAATTCCAATCCTAGAATTGCCAGTCTCTACTGAACTAAAAGGTAAAAGGTAGCTCAAAAGGTAACTTGACAACTACCTCTTCATGACATCACAAGGTGGAACAGAGCATTTTGATCTTTGGAGATGTAGACCAACTAATAATGCAAGATTACTCAAACATGTGTGAATGAAACAAAACACAACTCCAGGTATGTTTTTGATGAAGTAACAACATTATAACATATATATCTTACAGAAATCAATTTAGCGTATAATATAGGACCTGTAATACTTCCCAAGAACGCTGTAATAAATGCCTGATCAAATTGAATAGACTATGCATTTACTAGCCTGAAATTTGGAAATATGTTATGCAAATTTTAGTCATAAATAAAACATTAGTAGCCTCCAGCTGGATCAGACAGTGGTTTAAAGCGAGCACTACACTATTCAATGAAGGGAATAATGCTGCTTTAATTTGGCTCTGATTTTACACTAGTAAGAGGAGTTGCAGAACGAAAGGTGTGGTCGATCTGCTGTCATGTGAATGCTACATCAGACTCAGACCTGCCCTGTGCCTTAGGAATGGGTGGGACCGGCGGTGCGATTTGGCATGTGGGAGAAGATGCTAACCAAACAGTCACATGCAGTCTGTCCACACATCCCACACATGCACCAAGCGTTTTTTATTCACCAGGTTAATTATTCACAGCTAATGGTAAAAGCTAGCAAGAGTCACATTAGCAACTTGAGCTGCAGATCTCTTCCCAGTCCTTAGTTTACACCATTTGCTAGTTTGCAGTGCATCTTATTATCACATGCTAAAGTCCCTTGCTAGCTGTGATGATTATGCCAGTGAAAATAACTTGCTCGCAGTTTTACGTAAGTGTGTGGTTACCTTCTGAATGGAGGACTTCCCGCTTCTTCTCAAACCCATGAGTAGGATGCGTGGTTTGCTGTCGGACGGAGCCGGGCTGTCCTCGATGTCGGCCTCCTCTCCTCCATAGCCGAAATCTTTGGGGAAAGAGTCCGCCACCCCATAGCTGTCAGCCAGCTGCTCCACCTCGTACTGAATCGACATTTTGACCCAGCGACCGCGGCTACCCCTGGTCCCCCCCTCGCTCTTCGGACCCCACGCTTCTGCCTATGATCTACAACTAGGTTTGGACCGCTCCGATTTAGGAATAATAAAATTGTTGGTCAATATTGTCGGCTACTTGGAGACACGGGGCATGATCGCACACACATTTTCTAAGGATTTCCTCTCCCGTAGGAAATAAAAGCTTTTTTTCACCCGCCCGTTAATCCTGATTGGCTGATGAGATTACAAACTGAAAGCTGATTGGTTGAAAGGACTTGTCACTCTTCTGAGGCTGACCGCTGTCACCTGACTAGTGCACAGACTTGTTTTGTGACCTATTACCCGACTATTACTATCTGTTTTGGTTTGTAAAGTCGTGTGTGCCCGTTGGCAAACATTTTACCATATCTCATCTGTACTCTGTCAAGTAAAAACATTTATTTTAAAATGTGTTTCGATTTACTGAAGCGACTCAAGCAACTTCAACGATACACTCTGGTACCATTAGAGGGCAGACTAAACCTGATTCAAATGACGCGTTCGAGAGTGTTTGTAAATTTAAAGTAAGGGTCAAATACATTAAATAAAAAAACGATACACGATCAAATTAAAACAATTAAAAATCCCTGTATATTTACAATTTTTTTTGTCACTTTCTTTTTTTTTTATAGACTGATTTGTGTTGTCTCAAATGTCCTAAATCAATGTGAGCGGAGGATAAATATATTTTACAGACAGCCACAGAACAACCCATAGACCTCGTGAAAAACGAAACTTCGCACTTAAGTTGAACTGAAAGCATTACATTAGTTTGTTAACTCTTAACATTGAAGAAAACACTAGCAGTTGTCATCAATATGGCACATTATCACAGAGTAAGTAAGTCTTGTATTGGTTTTTGAATGACATTTAAAGGTAAGATTTAAACTCTTAACTACTGGCATGCTAAAACAGTTTTCAGTTAACTATATTTTGCTTTTAGCTTTTGCAGTTACTTTTGCGGTTAATCTTGACTGGAAAGGTGTTACGTTTCGTTTGCTAACAGTTTTCTATTACAGCCACCAGACTCCAAAAGAGAGCAGTTTCGCAGATATTTGGAGAAAGGCGGCGTGATCGACAGTCTCACCAGTGGTAAAGAAAGACCATGTTTATTTCTCTTCTTTCTTGTTATTTTTCCTCCTATCAGTGTCACATTTATTTTTATTTGTCGTTTGCAGTTTTGGTAAATCTTTATGAACAACAAGAGAAGCCTACAAATGCTTTGGAGTATCCTTCCCTCCGTGCCATAGTTTTATCAAGGGAATTCCCTTGACTCACGGTAGTTAAACTTAGTCATATTTCAGAGAAATGTTTTCTTTAATGAAGGTGATCCCAGATTTGTCAAGCAGCACCTGGGCGCTGTTGCTGACTCCTCTGATACAGACTCTCTGGAGCAGGAGCTGGCAGACCTAAGACAGAAGTGTGCTCAACTCACTGAGGAGAACCAGGAGCTCAGGGCAAAGGTGTGTCCTGTTCATGTGTGTCTGTGTATCTGTGCATTGTGCTAGTGTGACGAATGACAATGAAAATCCTTACTGTTCTGTGCTTACAGCTACGCCACTACGAACCTGAACATGACAATGGTGCATGAGCCCATTTCACACATTTTTAATTTTGCCCACTATTGTGTTAAGTGTATTTTACTCTTATTTATTCTGTATATGGCCATGTAAGTAATTTTGTACTGTCCACATACTTGAATAACCTTTGCGCTTTACAAGTCTTGGCACTTTGTTTTGAAGTTTACTAAAATAATATTCTTGATTAATGATTTAAATTTGTTATGACCATCACCATGTGATTAGGATATGTTTTCTGTCAATATTGATATTTTTTTTAAATAAAAGAAAACACTGAGTGGAATTAGTTTCAAAAAATTTTTTTTCTCACTGAGTAGATTTCAAATGTTAAATATACCTAATTAATCATACCACAACAATGAGTGATTTGGAAAAACATCCAATTAAGACGACATATCATATCAAATACATTTTTATTAGGAAAAAATACATACAATGTAAAAATATTTAATGAAAACTTGACCCATCCTAGTAACACCCCTGAAAATAAACAAAGGTTCTGTAGATGCTGTCTTTAGATCTGCAGATCTGGTGCTCGTCTGCTGCTTGAAGTACTTGCCATGGAGGCCTTGCAGCTGGAGGAGGGGGGTCTGGGGTGATGTCTGGAGCCAGAGCTGGAGTTGTCCTGAGACTCAGAGGTAGAATGTGGACTATGGGCCTTCAGTTGTGCTGAGTGTATCTGAGGAGATGTGTGCAGGCTACTGGCCTTGGCTCCACCATATGAGTCTGTGTCTGAGCTTCTGCCCTCCAACACTGTAGAGAATTTAAAAGAACTGTGCGCTCGGACTGGCCTCCTCACAGCGCTCGCTGGCAGTGTGGGGAAAGAGGAGGAGTGAGCCACTTTCTTCTCTGGGAGTTTAGCAGCTTCAGGGCTGGTTGTCTCACTGCTCTCGTTGTCCTTTACATGATGTATTACCTGTAGGGAGTCCTCAGCCTCTGGCTTTGGAGTCACCAGGAAATCATAGCATGCAGAGCAGGGCTCATCTGCAGTGGCAGTACACTCACACTGGGGGGGGCTGTGGGCAGAACATTTAGAGCCATCTTCTTGTTGTAGAGGTAGGAAAGCTGATGATTTCATGAGGCTGGGATACATGATGGTGCCGTGGACCCTCTCCAGGAGGTTGTAGTCACTTGGAGCTGAGGCAATAGTTGCCTTTCTAGCTGAGCTGGTGTACATTTGTATTACAGATTCTTTTTTACCTTTGCTCGCAAAATAGTCCTCAAGTTCATCTGTGCTGTTTCTGAACCTTGGGTATAAGTCTAAAATCACCCTCTTGATCTTTTTGTAGCCTAAATGCATAATCTCAAGAATATTTAGTGAAAGGGAAATCGCTGCGATGCACTGCATGAAGACCATGAAGACGCTTTTCTCAGTGGGTCTGGAGACATAGCAGTCCACTGCATTGGGACATGGACTCCTCTCACATTTAAAGAGTGGGTGGAGATGAAAACCATAGAGGAGATATTGTCCTGTCATGAAGAGCACCTCTACCACAGAGCGTGTGACGATGTGGGTCACATATGTGCGCAGCAGAGAGCCCCTCAGAGGAGCTTTGTTCAGCCTACTTTGGTCCACCTGCTTCATCTCACGCTCAATCTTCTTCCTCGTCTCCACCGACTCCACATCCACCAACTCCAGCTCTCTCTTCAACAGGACCTTCTTCTTCTGCCGCTCCTTCTCCAGTGCACGGAGCCTGTACAGAGCATGGCCCATGTAAACCAGTGAGGGCGAAGATACAAAAATGACCTGCAGAACCCAGTATCGGATGAGTGAGATGGGGAAGGCCAGGTCATAGCACACGTTTCTGCACCCAGGCTGTTCAGTGTTACATATAAAGTCTTTCTGCTCGTCATTCCACACGTCCTCTGCTGCAACCCCCAGCACAAGCATACGGAACAGGAAGAGGATGGTGAGCCAGATCTTTCCTACCATCGTGGAATGGATATGCACCTCCTCCAAAATCCCCCCTAGGATGTTCCAGTCTCCCATCTTCACTCTGCCATTATGACTGAAAGATACAGGAGGCAAAGTATTGAAGAAGGAATGTATATATGTATATGATACTTTGCAGCTGATGTCATCAATATTCCCTGGGGGTTTGATGCTAACTGAAAGCACTACTCTTTTAGAAGCTCTCAAGTTAAAATAAAGATTAAGTCTAACACAATCTGATCAGAACAGAAACCTGAAACAGAAATCTGATTTCAGTTATGTTTCACCTTTTTGGTGAAAATCAACCATACAGGACCATAAATTGATCACAAGCTCCTGAAAATGTGTTGTTTAAATCCATCTTAAAACTTTTTTGTCAGTGTTTGCTAATGTGTACATTGTGTCACCATGGTAACTGCTGAACATTAAGCCAATAGAGATACATGTAGAACACCCCTAGTGTGATGTCACTGCAAAGTATCAATATACCCCAAATAACTAGCAATCATTTGAGCTAAGAAGTGACAGTGGCTGCAGTTACATGCACACCCAAATTTTGATTCTAATAAGATTTTGAGTTATAAGACTTTTAATATGATGATATGGAAAGTGCAAAATAATCTGATTTCTTTCTGATCATAGCACACTTCTGATTGGTCACATTAAATTTCTGCAGTTTGCATGTCATTTAAAGGTGCACTATGTAACTTTTTGGTTGGGGGTTCGTCACCTTGTTTCTATGGATATGTCATTGCTCTGCTGTTGTTCTGTATTATAACAAACAGCCTTACATGTATTCTATTACATGTGGTTTTATTGCCAAAATTAAAAAAAACAGGCATTCTGACTGTAAGTGGGGTTGCCTCTTCACAGATCTGACCAGTAACTTGGTCTGGTTTGGCTTCAGTGATGATAGAAAGGTTTAATTCTATACTGTTGAACATCCTAGACAAGGAAATAACATCTCCATGGAGAAAAGCAGGCGGCAGATCCTCCACCAGAAAAGTTACACAATGCACCTTAAAACAATTTTAAAGCTCCAGAAATCAGATAATCAGATGTTTGTATGCATGTAAACTTAAAGCCAGTGCCTCACACATACATTATCCAAACAGGCACTCCAAACTGCCAAAATTCAAACTAAAATTTTCTAAAAAGTAAAGTAAAGTCATTGAATAAACTAGGACTTTTACCTTGCAGCAGCAGCGTGGATGGACTGCCGATGATGACTTAAATCTCCTCGGGTCATGCAGTCCGGACGAGCTCACCAAAAAGTTAGAAAAATCGTTAGCGCCCTCTGCATCCGTCCACTCTCGTCACCCAAACTTTGCCAACCCCCACTGCTCCGTGCTGCCTCAAAATAAGCAACACCAACTGATCTGCCGAGGGAAAGGGTGCCAACTGTGCTGTGCCCGGGGAAAGTCAATACAGTTCTATAGCACTGCATTCAGAACACAGCTGCATTGATACATGGTATAGATTTTATTTCTGTATTATTATTATTTAGATTTTACTGTGGAACTTTTCTAGTAGAGGGTCCGCTACCTACTTGTCTCCATGGAGATGCAATTACTGTGTTTGCCTTAAATATTCCATGGTATGACATTAAATATTTCCATCTAGCATTTATTCATTACATTCCTCAGAAATATAATAATTCCTTCTGTGAATAGGGCGACTCTCCACAGATCTGAACTGTAATATAGTGTAGTGTGGTAACCTGCTTGTTTCCTTTGTGATAGATAAGGTTTCGTTTATACTGTGAAATGTTCTAGACAAAGCAATAACATTTCCATGAAGACAAGCATGTAGCAGACCCTTCACTAGAAATGTTACGTAGTGCAGCTCCTTTTCTTTTATGTTGCATCAATTGTACACAGATTTAAACATTTTCACATACTTTTTGCAATATGTTGTGTGTTTAAGTACTTTATATACATTTTAGCCATAATTACTGACCAAATATTTATACTAACAAAAGAAAAACATTGGAATTCCCAGTCAGTGATGCACATAGGCAAAGTGAAGTCAATAGTTGTTATAGGGAAATGATCAATGGCTCATCCTGTCTAATTTCATACTTGACTGAGTTTAAATGAGTAATTAACACTTCACAATAGTTAAGCCAATTTACAAAAAACTCTTAGCAAGTACAATAAAAGTGGTGTGCCAAGATATACCCGTATAGAGCTGCATGATCCTGTTTTGATTTGTCAGTTACAATAAATAAGGTAAATTTGTGAAATATTGTTTGCAAAAAGATGTTTTCAAAAAGTATGACATGTCTTGGGTACACGTTTTACAATGAACAAAATGCAATGCTATGGTTACTTTTATATGTAATATTTTAAATTCTTCTGTAAAATAAGTTAAAATTGAGAATGTATAGTAATTGAGTATTGACCAGCTTCTATTGATTGGCTAGGGAGAGAGGCAACGTTCCACATACAGTAAAAGCAGCTGGTATTAGGAAGAGCCAAATCGAAAACAGACTGATTATACAAACAAACATTGAGACTGGTCTATTTATATATTAGCATTTGATGGTCAGGGGTTTCAAAGATGCACTGTTACTTTTCCTGTCTGCCATGTGCCTTTGTCAGTGGAGATGCTATTGCTTTCTCCAGAATGCTCCACAGTATAGCATTAAACTTGTGGCCCCCTCTCCACAGATCTGGACCTGTAACGTGACCTTGTGGCGTCGCCTGCTTTTGTTTTTAATAGGGAACATGTATTGGCATTTTACTGGACTAATAATTTTAGTTGTGTATTCAAGTTTACTTGCAAACCCAGAACAAGTCTTTAAAACTCCACCATGTTTTTAATCCAGGTTTTATCTAATTGGTGTAGGTAGTTTATATTTGTACACAGTAATGGTAGCAAAGGTCACATGTTTTACCAAGTATTTTTCTGTGGGTGCAATTCTTTCTACAGGAAGCGACTGAAACAAAACCCTTTCATCAGGCCTAAGACGATGGTTAACCAAAATCAGGAAGTAAACAATCAGCTAATGAGAATACCAGAGTTCTAAACATTCTCCTATATCACAAAGGACTTTATGTGTTTATGTGTTTAAGAAGTACACTGTGAGAGCAATCATACATTACATTAAAAACTTTTTTTTTTAATTTTCACATTACAGTCAATGTGCAATATTTAAATGCTAAAAAATGACAGTACAAAAGTCAGACTAAATCTTAACAACACTGACTAATAACATAACAACAAAAATGAGACATATAAAACATGCGTTGGTTTATGAAATTGCTATGTACATACACTTCATGTACTACATACTGCAATATATGTGTAATACTACACATGATCAGCAGGAGGAACCAACACGGTCCTGAAATGCGTTGGTATAGATATGTGAGTGCCTACTTTATGGAGTAGACATGTTTTTTGTGGAAATATAATATACCTGAGTGTGTGATGAAGACTTAAAGTGTTCGGCACTTGATACAGTTACAGTATTTGTCAGTCATTGTTTCTATGGTGCTGGGGACAGGAAGATATTGAAGAGCACTGCAAAGATCAGGAAAACCACAAATCCAACTATACAGATCCAAAATCGAGGGTCTTTGAGCAGTTTCTCATTATAATCACTGAAGAAGACATAGCCGATGGTCATGCCAGCTACTATCCCTCCAAAATGGGCCACAAAGGACACCTGTAGAGGGGAGGAGGAGTCACATTTGGTTAAACATTAGCCTGCAGGCTCAGAGAGATTAGATAGCTTAATTGACCATAGTGACACATGACCTCAGCTCGAAACCTGAAGTACTGGCTTACCACAAAAATAAGCAAATAGGGGGATGGTTTGTATTCTGTCTGTATTTAACCCCCAAGAAAACAAATCTAAATAGAGAGGATGATTCCAATGCTCCAAAGTAAAACCACAGAGGCATGTTACATTGAAAACATGTAAGGCCTTGAGTGTATAGTATAGTCTGTATTACTAAACTTTTCTAGCCCAAAAATCTTGCAAAAATTGTTTCTCAAAACCACAAACAGTATATCTCAGCAGGTGCTATCTCTGATAATAATTTATTCACTGAAAAGGAAAAAGGGCTCACCCTCAATCCTTGTTCATCACTGAAAAATCTTCTGTAGAAAGCAAATCCAAAATCTGTGCCCACTGCAACGACAATTCATCATGATTTAAAAGGTCCTATATTACTCAAAATTAACTCTTGTGAGCATTAAACCATGTTGGAATGTTGTTACCTTCTCAAAAACATACCTGGAGTTGTGTTTAGTTTCATTCACACGTTTGTGTAACCTTTTATTATTAGTTTGGCTACATCTACAAATCGTCCAAATGATTCTAGTAAAAGTGTGTGTATGGAGTTTAAAAACACAGGAAAGCATCACAAGGTGGAACAAACAGTTTTTCATATGAGAAAAGAACTCATCCTAAATATGTAGGGTTTATGTGAATTATACAAAACACAACTCCAGGTATATCTGTGATGAGGAGGCAACATTACAACATAGATCAGAAAATATATGTCCTTTAACATTATGCAATGAAAATCATAGAATCCAAAAAAGACTCACCAATGACTACAATAGCAAGGATACGAAACACACGAGCAATGGGATCATCTCTCGGAAATTCTGTTTAATAAGATCATAGAAATATAAAACATGATGAAGGACAAAGCGAAAAGAAATCTATAACTTTCCCACTACCCAAACTTACCACCACTGCGTTCATGAAATAGCCTCCGATTAGGGCATAAACTCCTCCAGAGGCCCCTACCAAGGCACTGAGAGGGTCAAATATGGAGCTGGCCAAAGAACCTGGGGGTAAACAACCACACAAAAAGTAAATGTAGCGACGTGCTTTGATATCGATGGAAAAAATAAAAATAAAATGTAAATCTTTGAACAGTTAATCTGATCCTTCACATGGATACTTTTCAGTGACATCATGCTGGGGGGTATTTCTATGTATTTCTATGGTGGAATGTTTATCAGTTACTATGGTGACACAATTCAGACGTTAGCAATAACTACCAAAAAAGTTTAAGACCTTAAACACGACCTGCTAGAGTTTCATCTAAACCGACTCTTTCTGGTCAGACTGTGTTAAAACAAAGCTCAGATTAAAGTAATTTGAGTAACAGAGTTTCAGACAGAGCAGAGTTTACAGTTAGTATCACACCACCCAGGACAACAGCTGCAAAGTATCAATTGGTTTATACAAATGAGTCCTCACCTGCGAGGACTCCAGCGAGGTACACCATCCCCACCTCAAAGCCTTTGTGAACCAGCTCCAGAGGGATTCCCAGTAACAGCTGCATAAACAGGTTCCCCAGAATGTGCTCCACTCTGAGAAAAATATACAGGTTTAACTTAAACTATTCTTTTCTTTGTTCAGCTCATTCAAAAATCGAAGCTAAACAAATGCTTGAGAAGTAGGTATTATCATAGTTGCACCATGGCAGCTTCAAAACAGCTACACATACATATGTCACAGGCAAAGTAGGAAATTATCAATATTCTCTCTAAAGGCAAAATGGAGAATCTCATAGTCAAATGGAGCATAAACTGTTTGCAGTCATTGTTAAAGGTGTATTGTGCAACTTTTTAGTTGGGGGTATGTCAGCTCCTTGTTTCAATGGATAGGTCATTGCTCTGCCTGGAATGTTTCACAGTATGACATTAAACAGCTCTACTTTACATTTATCCAGTTACAGGTGGTTCATAGCTCAAAAACACCTAGAAAAACAGGCATTCTGACAGTAAATAGGGTTGCCTCTCTGATGGACCTGCCATTAGAAAAGTTACATAGTGAACCTTTAAAAATTATTCACCTAAATAAAGGGCTTTTACTGTAAGTCAGACTACCTCAGATCTCTTTTTTTCTAGCCTACTTTCCTGGATCCTTGAAGAGCACCTGCCTACCAATTAATTAGACCCATTGATGCACTCACCCTTCATGTTTTTGTACATATAACCTTACTGGACATAATAGGGCCTACAAAGGTTTGTTAGTATAAAGGTCACATTTAGGCTTGATGACAGGGTCTTGCCAATAGAGGTATACTGACAAATATGAATATCTCAGGATTTCTCTGAAGTATCCCAATAATGATAGTGTAGTTTTTTTTCAGCACAACTAAAGCTTGGTTTAGTTTGATCGTTCGATAGTTTGATCGTTTGTTTCATTACTACAGACCAAAGTCTCAAACTTGCTTCTGGGGATAATTTATCAGTTTTGAATATATAACAGCATTTTACTGAGGTAAAATTTTGTTTAAGAAAACAGTAACCCCGTTTGTTATTCTACGTGAGCCATTTTGCAAATGTCAATTTTCAACAGAGAAGCGTGAAAGAGAGATGTACTGCCAACAGACAAAATAAAAAGCTAAAATCCACCTTAAATAAAATAAAATCAGCAACAAAACCTGTGGGCCACACTTTGCCTAAAGGACACTAGGCTTTGAAGAGAATACCAAGGCAGTCTATCCAATGCCTAAACAAAGTAGATAATAAAACATGTATTTCCTACTTTGCCTAAAAACATATTATAAACTTTGCCTGTAGCATATATAAGCCACTCCACATAGACCAGGTAGTTAATGTTTTCACAATATTAAAATGTCAAACTCAGTAATACTGAGGAAAAGGCTCAATACCCAACATCCATTTCTCTCCTACAATCATTTATAAAACACTATCATTTACATATTTAAATATAATATCAATACAAGTCAAAATAGCAATTCATTAATTAATAGCAAGTAGCAAGACCATGTTTAAACTCTTAGGAAAGGTCCAACTTTGTCCTATTTTTGTATTTTTATTTACATTTTGAGTGTATAGTTATATTATGTCATTCTGTAATAACTGGGACTTTTTTTAACCTTATTTCTAGTGCATATAATAAGAGTATAAAGTGAAATATTATTTCTGTAAACTTTAACAAAATTTTATTTGAAATATATTTCTGTGTGTTCCTGTACTATCAAAATTTGTATTTGATCAAAATGATTATGCCTATAATTATGCCTATATCAATATCAACATTTTATACTTTTGCACTTACATTTTACACCATTATATATATTTCTTCCCCCAGAAACAAATACTACTAGGGCAGTTCTCTAGCCTTCTTGAAGATTTCTATTTAAAAAGCCTGTGTTACACATAGTACCCACTAAAGTAATCCACAAACACCAGGACAATTAGACCATGCCAAGTAAAGCATATGACTCCACACGTGAGTCAGACCTCCAAAAAGATTACATGCTTTAGGTGCACTGGTGTGACCAGAGACTGTATGTGACTTTACACTGAAATGACTTTACATTGAAAAACATCGCCCCTCTCTCTGTAACTGCTGCAGTGAGCCTCATCATTTTGGTCATAAAATGTTCATATTAACCCTCTCTACATGATCCTGGTGTTTTCATTACGTTAATATGTCAGTAAATAAATTCCTATTCCTACTATAGAACTTCAAATTCACTCCTATAACTGCTAGCCTAGCTGAACACTATGACACCACACTCCCTTAATTCACTTCTTTATACACTGTATGGTCCTGACCGGTGACTACTCTTTAACGTTTTTTTCCACTGGGTTTTGATGAGTCATTCATCCCCTGACCTCTCTTACCCCGCATGGACAAACATGTAGGAGATGAAGCGCCACGCCTCCTCCCTGAGCTCAGGCTTGTATGTCAGGGGACTCGTCCAAATGCCTTCATCCAGAGTGATCCACTGCTTCTGGGGCTTCCACACTGCGTAGTAAATGAACACTGCCAACTGAGAAAAACAAGAAAATACACAATATGATAAAACATTTTAATTACAATGATGTATATTGTCAGTGCTGATAAATAGTAGCCTATGTATGTTAAGTGCACTCAAGTTAAAAGGTCCTATATTACACAAAATTTAATCCTGTGAGCTTTAAGTCATGTTGGGATGTTGTTTTCTCATCAAAAACATACCTGGAGTTGTGTTTTGTTTCATTCACACATTTGAGTAATCCTGCATTAGGGGTCTATCTACATCTCCCAAGCTCAAACTGCTCTGTTCCACCTTGTGATGTCATGAAGCTGTCAGCTGCTCCTTTGTTCAGTAGAAACATCCAAATGATTCTAGAGAAAGTGTATGGACTTTAAAAACACAGTGGAGTACTTCCTGTATTAAAACATGATGACATCACAATGTGGAACAGAGTGTTTTCAGTTTGAGAGAAGAACACAAGCCTAAATATGCAGGATTTGTGTTTTAAACATGTGAGATCAGTCTGGTTAAATTGTGTCAAAATGAAGAGTTAACAACACCAGAAAATACAGTAGACTAAATAAAAAGAAGATTGTAAAGATAATGTGAACTGAGAATTTTAAGCCCATACATTTTTTCTTTGTTCGATTTAAGACCTTAGGGTTTTAGTTTTCTTGGGATAACATATTTTTTTGTAATACAGTGAGCAGCCCTCAAATAGAATCCAAATACATTATATTTCAATGAGAGCTTTGAAGTGTCTGTTAAACTACATAGATAAGAGCACCAGATGTGTTGTGTGATAAAGCGTCCCTGTGAAAATGAAAGTTAAAAAGTATGATGCTGAGATTTTCTTTGGAAGTGGAAGTTCTCTGGAAGGGGCCTGCCTTATCCGCTATGCCCAGAAGCACAGAGGATGTATTCAGAGCAGAGTTAATCTTATGCAATTTCTGTGCGGAAATGAAAAGCCTATGCAACCAACCATTTGTGCTCTCTGACATTTAGTGCTAAGTGAATGGACTTCTGTCGCTCACACAGCAGCAGTTGTTTGAATGTGTGAATTAACAGTATCTGATCAGATCTCCAATAACCCATGCTCTTGTATAAAGCCAAGATGTATTTACTGTATTTGACACCAGTTTCTTGCTATTTTTGCTACTTCTTTTGAATTTATTATTACCATTTATATTGTTGCTCTTTGTTATTATAAAATATTGTGATGGATGAACTACTGTGCCCAAATAATTTCCCTTGTGGATCAGTTATGCAAACCAGATCTAACCAAACTATGTTAATATATCCAAGTTGAACAGATTTGAACTATAGTTATGCCAGGGGTCTCCAACCTGTAGCTCGGGAGTTACTGGTAGCTCTCCACCCCCTTCCAAGTAGCTCACCAAGGGATTTCTGAATTATACCATTGTGCTGAATAAGTAAAACCTGATTAATTTTACCATTGCACATGTATCTTGACTTTGTACACTAATAAATGGATACAGGTTTATGTTTTATAGGCCTCTAAGATAGGGTGACCAAATTTTCAAAATTAAAAACTGGGACACCCCTGGTTTGTGGTGGTTGGTAATAATAAAATTGTGAAACAAGTGTGTAACTCAGGAGAATTGTTCTGCACAGCACTATGAGTTAGCATGTGAGTCAATATAGTCCCATTTTCTTTGTGTTTTGGTCATTTTTAAGCAGCTTTTCTTTATTTTACCTTAACAAGTGACAATATATGCTTCCCTTTACTGTTGACAGGGATCAAATTGGTCAAAAATAGCGATACCTGGGACATTTCTTGTATAAAACTGGGACAAATCAGTGGTTTTGTATAAATCTGCTGGGACAGAAGACACAGGGCTCAAAACTGGGACTGTCCCGAATAAACAGAGACATCTGGTCACCCTAATCTAACTGTACCTCATCTAAGGTTTGCTGTGGCTCTGTTATATACTAAATTTCTTGTGACCACTAAAACTAGTAGCTCTCTGGAAGAAAAAGGTTGGAGACACCTGAGTTATGCTAATTGTTAACAGAATAAATGTCTCTGTTATTCAAGTTAAGACTTTATCTGATTTTATTTTAACACAATCTGATGAGAAAGAGCTGACTTGGTTGGAACTAAAATAAGCGAGATTATTTTAAAGTCTCTCACATATAATATTAGAGTCAGTTTTTCATTTAGTCACTCTCATCTTTTTTTTGAAAATCAAACACCTAAAAAGGACATGAACGCTTATAGTCATCACAGGCTCTGGATTTTTTTTTTTTTTTTTCAGACTATCTTCAAACTTTTTTGTCTGTGTTTGCTAATGTGTGCATTGTGTCACCATGGTAACTGCCCTCAGCGTGACGTCAAAACAATGTATCAATAATTGTAATGTGTGTGTGTCTGACTATGTGTCCACATTGTCATATAGATCTACTTCACCATAGTACTAAATGTGTAGTTGGAAAAATTTGGTAGTAAAAGCAGCACAAAAACCTACATAAATAAAGACATCTGTAAACAAAAGGAAACTCCATTATTTCACAATCTACCCCAAATACCATGAAGTCAATTCTGCAATCAACCACATAGTGTAGTGTTGTCAAAATGCACTATTGCACTATCTTTCATATAAAACCTGTAGTTTTTTCTGGTAACCTACTTTTCACATGACCACCTGCTGACAGTTCAAATTCCTTTAAATGTGGATGTTTTCGTAACCCAAAAAGTCTCAGTACTGTGTTCTGTATATTGAGAAGAGCATAGCAGTGAACTCACAGCTCAATTCACTAACTGGAAGTCTGTCAGTTAAAGGGCCCATATTACACTGTTTTCTGATGTTATAATCTTGTTTCCTCATCAAAAACATACTCGGAATTGTGTTACAGAAGAACTCCACTCTGTTTTTAAATTCCATATACCTCCACTAAAAATATTTTGTTAATTTTAGACCTGGTCAATCTCTACTGAGCAAAAGGTAAAATATCTTACTACTACTACTGCTTCATGACATCACAAGGTGGAACAGAGCATTTTGAACTGGAGATGCAGTCTAATAATAAAGGTCAATCAAACACAAGTGAACGAAACAACACACAACTCTAGGAATGTTTTTGATGAGGTAACAACATGGCTAAAAGCTCAATTTTGTGTTATATAGGGCCTTTAAATCATCAAATAATAAAAATATAAGATGTTTACAAAATACTAAAGAAAAAGTTTAAAGATTATATTCCCATAAATGTGTCATTTTTAAAATGAAATTTAACTGATAAAACCATTAACTTTTCTGATGCTGGGACAGACAAAATAGTCACTAATTAGAACTGTCAAATCTATCGAAAATCAGATACAAATTGATACCAAATCATTTGTGACAGACTTCCAGTTAGTGAACTGAGCTGTGAGTTCACTGCTATGCTCTCCTCAATATACAGAACACAGTAGTGAGACTTTTTGGGTTACGAAAACATCCACATTTAAAGGAATTTGAACTGTCAGCAGGTGAAAAGTAGGTTACCACAGAAATACTATAAAAATAGAAAAACTATAAAAATGCTATACTAAATCAATGTTACTTAAATGGGGCAACTAGTCTTATTACCTTATTACCCACAAAACTAGTATAAGACAACATGATTATTATTATTTTGTGGTGAAAATGAAATTTTATTTTCTAAAAAGAGCGTTATTATTATCATTGTGGTACTGAAATCTGCAGAGAGTACTGAGCCAATTCCTTAGTATCAAAATATAATTTGAAATGAGTCTAGCCACCACTACTTACATCATCAAGAGTTAAAAAGGATTTACATGACTGCAGAGTTTTAAACCATCTATGTGTAATATTGTACTAAATATGACCAAAAAAATAATAATAATAAATAAAAATTCAGGTTCAAGCATTTTCCCTCAACGCAGATGGTAGAAGGTTGTCCATTGTTCTTATCGCAGAACATTGTGTCACTTTCAAAATCAATATAGTGACATAACAAAACATATTCTAGTTTACAGTCTCACCTATATTTTTGCCCTACTTAATACACAAAATCAATCTATAGAGCAATCACATCCAGCCAAATGTAGGCTACATATTGCATATAGTCCACACAATCCATAATGTGTGTGTCATCCAGGCCAGACAGTCTCAGCCAGTTACTTAAGTAAAAGAACAGATACTGGTACTAAAAAAAGCTACTCAAGTAAAAGTACCCATTTAAAAAAGTAGATAAAACGTAAAAAGTTACAGTATTTTGCGTAGATTTTGAGATCTAATAAAGCTTCAAATGTATTGCTTTTGATATAGATTTGTTTATAATATTTTGAATAATGGAATTGGTAGTTGTTTTCTGATCTCTTTTTATTTGTATGTTTTTGTTTGCTCAATCTACAAACCTGTTAAAAATAAAGTCTTTCCAGCAGGTCTCAAACTATAATAAAAATACTATTTACTTTTCAGTCCCATTCAAAGATGTGGTGAAGTAGAAAGCACTGATACATGCCCTCAAATGTAGTAAAGTAAAAATTAAAAAGTATCCACTTTCAAATCTAAAATACAGATACCTAAACTTTATACTTAAGTGCAGTTCCACATTTCCACCTCTGCTCTCACCTCTCCTATACTGATGAGGATGATGAAGATGGGGGGTGGACAGCAGTTGGCGCGCTCCAGATATCTGTCACGTTTATTCTCCGGAAGCATCCACTTGGACAAAGAATGCTGGAATTTATCACAGCATCCTAGAGCCCCGTCAGGCACATCCTTCGCTCTCCTGAACTCTACCCCATCTCTGTCCACTGGGAAGGGCTCCAAGGTCTCAGGGTCTTGGGCCATCTCTGCTTTAAGACTACAAAAGAACACATTATTAATTAAAAAAGAAAAAAAAAATACTAAAAATCTAATTCTGACTGTCACATTTTTCACAGTTTTCATCAAAATTAAGACACATAGGCTAATAACATTAAAGGACCTACACTATTTTCTGATCTGTTATAATGTTGTTACCTCATCACAAACATACCTGGAGTTTTGTTTTGCTTCACTGACAAAAAAATATGTTATGCCATTGCCAACGAAACTAAAACCTAAACCCTGGTCTTAAATCGAATAAAGAAAAAAACGTATGTGCTTAAAATTTTCTGTTCACATAATCTTTAGAATTTTCTATTTATTAAATCTATTTTCTGGTATTGTTAACTCTTCATTTTGACACAGTTTGACTAGACTGATCTCACATGTTTAGCACACAAACCCTGCATATTTAGGCTGAGTTCGTCTCTCAAACTGAAACCACCTTGTGATGTCATGTGGAAGTGCTCCAGTTTGTTTTGTAAACTCCATACACCTTCAGTGGAATCATTTGGAGAATTTAAATCCTGAAATTGTCAGTCTCTACTGAACTAAAGGTAAAAGTTAGCTTCATACTTAAAAACTACTACTAC